CTAAACATGAGATTTCTAATTTGTTATTGAAAGCTGAGACCGCAGAGTAAAAGGTCACAGAGGTCAGAGGCTGGACGAGATTGTACAAATGAGTCTCACCTCAGATGCTTAAGTGGATTCCTGTGGCCACACTGGGCTAATTAGAGCAGGGCCAGGCAAGAAGGTGGTGGATGACTTAAAATAGAAAGGATGTTCATGATACACTCAGTTGTTCATTGCTTAATGGCAAGGATACTTCCTAAGAGATGCATTTTAGATAAAGTCCTTATTGTGTGAACACCATAGACTGTGTGTACCATAAAGTAATTGGGACATGCCATTATGAGGCCTATGTCCCCACTATGGTATATACTCCCCAATGTGGACCAAAGTGTGGCATTATATTTACTAAAATGCCTTCCTTAAGGAGAATAATCTTGCAATTCTCTATAATAGGGTCCATGCTGACATTTTTGGAAGAAAAGCTGAAGGACTTATCTTCATGCTATATGTTCAACAAGCCAAAGTTAACTTTTTACTTAAATCACTAAAATGAGCAGTTTTCTGAAGACACTTTTAGTGTCTTTTTTGAAAGATATATTTTTTAAGATTTATTTATTTATTATAAATACAACATCCTACCTCCACGTCTGTCTGCAGGCCAGAAGAGGACACCAGATTTCCTTATAGGTGGTTATGAGCCACCATGTGGTTGCTGGGAATTGAACTCAGGACCTCTGGAAGAGCAGTCAGTGCTCTTAACCTCTGAGCCATCTCTCCAGCCCCCAAAAGATATATTTTATGCGTGTTTGTGCCTGTGTGTTTGTATGTGCCCCATGCGAGTGCAGGTGTCCTCGGAGGTCAGAAGAGGGCGTCAGATTCGCTGGAACAGGAGTTAGAGTTGATCTTGAGACATCTGGTATGGGTGCTGAGCCCCAAATCCTGGTCCACTCCAAGAGCAGCAAGTGTCCTTATCCACTGAGTCATCTCTTTATAGTTTCTAAACTGACTCTTGAGTGATTGCAAGGCTGTCACATCCCTAATGACCTCTGGGAAACTTCTTTCTTTTAAATTCATCATGCAGTCCTGGAGAACTTTTGAAGGAGACTCCATTTGGTCTTGGATTTGGTTTCACAATAAAGCCATACATTGTTTGGAATTGACTTAGTCTTTCTGCTAAAGTTAAAGGATGCATTCCATTTTGCACAATGAAATGAAGGCAAGGGTGGAGGGTGTGTCCTTTTTACCTTCGGCACAGAGGAAGGGCAATAAAGAGCTGAAAAGTAGTGAACATATGCAGGAAAGATCAATATAAAATTATCAGTTGTTAATAAGAACAAATTCACAGGCTGCTTATTTTATTTTATTTTTTGGTAAGGGTGTTACTATGTAGATCAGGCTGGCCTCAAACTCATAGAGACCCACTTACTTGCCTCTGCTTCCCAAGTCTTGGGATTAAAGGTGAGTGACATGATCAACAGGCTTTTTTTGCTTCTTTTTGTTGTTGTTTTGTTTTTGTTTTTTAGTGCTATTTGCTACAGTGTTTGACCCTTAAAAATACACTTACAAGGAAGCCCATTGTCCTAGGCTACATCGAGATTTTCCATTATTATGTTAAGCAATACCTTTCCTGATGCTAAAAGGTTTCTACGTTTCTCATGCTGCAACTGACTTTGATGATAAGGGGGCAAAATTATTCTTTAAGTCCAGATGATAAGGCTACTGTGGCAAACAGTGGAAAGTTTTTGATACCCACCCAAGCTTTACAACGGGGGAATCATTAACGTGGAGTACTCCACCCTTGAAAATGGAACATTTTGTGGATTTATTATCAAAATGGACGGCCCAATTCTGTGCTACTCTGAGCAAGGATGTGTCTACTCCGGGCACTACTAATGATGCAGAAAGTGTCTAAGCAAGGATGTGTTTACTCTGTGTACCACTAATGATGCAGCAAGTGTCTGATGAGCAACATGTTTACAAGTTGGTACCTGGACTTTTATTGCTTGGACATGGGTATCCAGCTGCCTCAAAGAAATGGTTTGGGGAGGGGAGGACTTTGGGAGGGTTTGTTTTGTTTTGATTTTTGAGACAGAGGTTCTCTGTGAAACATTCCTGGCTGTCCTCAAACTCACTCTGTAGACCAGGCTGGCCTCTAACTCACTGAGATCTGCTTGTCTCCACCTCCAGGGTGCTGGGGTTAAAGCTGTGCACCACCACCACCTGGCTAGAAACGTTTTAAGGACTAATAATATTTTCTAGAAACTTTAGAGAATGTTTTCCTTATTAGTTTTCTGCTATCTACAGTTGTTGCTTTCTTGAGATTGGGGCCTCACTCTGTAGTCCAGGCTGGCCTTGAACTCACAGTCCTCCTGCTTCAGCCTCCCACATACTGGGATTATAGACAAGTGCCATCATATCTAGTTCCTGCTAATCCTCATGTGAGCCCCATTTCCTATTCACTGAAGAAGGGCCTTAAAGCATTCACCGACTCAGAAAAATAGTACCCCTATGCTTTTTTCCTTTGCTAAATATATTTTTAAAAGTATTTTTCATGTTTTTATATTGCTGTTTTATCTGCATGTATGTCTGTGCACCACATGGGTGCCAGGTTCCCTGGTACTGGAGATACAGATGGTTGTGAGCCATCATGTAAGCGCTAAGATTCAAACCTGGGTCCTCTGTATGAGCAGTCAGTGCTCTTAACTGCTCAGCTCTCTAGCTCTTTCTCCTTTTCCAAAATGGCTATAATCTAGCTTCTTCATTCCAAATGAAGAATTTATTGGTGTTAGTGATGACAAACTTCACAGTGAAGTCTTATTTCTTAGCATTTCTCTCCTAAACTTTCCAGTAACCCCATTTCCCTCCAGTGTCTCTAATCTCTCATTCCGGGTTGTGTCCAGGGCAAAATGTAGAGAAGACACCATGGAGGGTTTGTTCCTTAAGGGACTTTCTCAATGGCACTTCTAGCTGTAGGGCATGTGCCTTGAAGCTACAGCTTCCCTTGACAAGGGCCGAGGTATTGGTATTCTCAGCCACTCCCCAAAGAAAGATTAGTACAGCTGGGAACCTCAAGTTGTGAAAATGGAGGTTTCTCCGCATGGCCTCTCCTGCAGGGATAGCTTTGTCAAATCTACCTAGACTGTAGATAATTGCAAGTAATGCCAGAATTTTCCGCAGGAAGCTGTGCCGGGTCTTTCCCAGCACAGAGACAATTGCTCAATTAAATCCCCAAAGTTCCATGACACAAGAAGAACAGAAACAATTCTAGCCTGGAATATTTTTAGGGTAGGTGTCACGAGCCGCTAGCTGTGGCCTTAGGAAAACCTACTGTTCTTGGGGTCATTGTATCAGGAAACTCAAAGGGATGAATGAAGTACAAACTTTGTTCTTACCCAGGCAGGTTGACATCTGTGGGTTTTTTTGACAAATGAGCTAGGTCTAGATGAAGCAGTGGTTTTTATTTAAAGTCACAAGTATTCTGCCAATTATTTCTGTGAATAGTTTGGTATCAGTAATCCTTGTCAATTGAAATACCTTCTAAAATAGTAATTTTACCACCACCACATTTAAAAAATGTAAGGGTCACTTAATATCTTTCTTTGAAGCTTTATGCCCAACAGAACACTTTTTGGCAGCAATTGTGCTGGGGGAGTGTGTCCCATGGTGGGTGGTGAGTCAGCCTCTGGTATGCCAAGGTTCCGAGCCTGCACCCACACATGGTGGTAGAGATGGGTGCTAAGGGGTGGCAAACTAAGGCCACACAGTTGGAAAGAAGGAAAGGGAGCTACCTATGCAACGTAGAGTTTTAAGGAGTCCTGTATTCTTTAAGATACTAGAACTCCAAACACTGTGGATCACGGTCAGGGGTGGCCCAGGGATTTGACACAAAGACCTCACCTCACACATCTGTGACCTGACAAGGGATCTAGAGGACTTCAAGTTTCTTCCTTAACTCCTGCTGTGAAAATCCATTTTCTAGTAAAAATACTCATAAGATTGGTGACAAATATCTCTATCCCCAAGACTCCGACTCTCCCAATCCCCGTTCTTTCCTAGGGATCACTATCCCTGACTTCCAGCCTTGCCTTTCACTTGTCATCACAGCGGTCAGGAAGAGGAAGGAGGGGGAAACAGGGAGGGGTAGAGCAGGAGGAGGAAGGAGGGGGAAGGAACAGGGATGGATAGAGCAGGAGGAGGAAGGAGGGAGAAGGGGGGAACAGAGAGGAGCAAAGGAAGAAGGAGGCTCTAGCCACTTAGATGCTATTCGGAGGGCAGAGAGAAGCTCAAAGAGTCATGTGACTCAGAATCCAAATGGGAGGCAGACAGGCGAGAGCCTCCAGTTCCTCGAGAGGAGGGAGACAGAGACAGAGATAGGGACTGAGAGACAGAGATGTCCAGGTTCACATAGTCCCTGGGATGGATGTCATTATTGCATTGTGTAAAGACACACAGATTGTAGCACACTTTCACGTGCCTTGTTTTACCGCTGCTCAATGATCCCAAGTGGGCTTGTCAGATGCCGTGAAAGAGTGAATAATCCGTTTTACTGGATCACTCGAGAAGGATTATGCAAGACACAGAATATGCAAGCCGAGCCAAGTAGCTTCTAAAACTGACTTTGAGTCTAAAATTAGTTTTCCAAATGAGGAAACAAGTTTAGAAAGAAAAATGACTCAATGGCTGGCCCCAAATATTGCTCAACTAATGAATGAATGACATCCAGAAGCCACAGCTAGGCATGGTGGCTCACGGTTGCAATCCCAATATTTGGGAGGTAGAGGCAAGAGATTTGCCATGAATTCTGGGTCAACCTGAGCTACCTAGAGAGACCCTGACTCCAGGAAACAGAGAGAGAGAGAGAGAGAGAGAGAGAGAGAGAGAGAGAGAGAGAGAGAGAGAGAGAGAGAGAACTTGCATCCAGTATATCCTTTTGCATATGTTAAAGGGAAAAAAGCAATCTTTTAGAAGAGGTAATAACCCATTTACAAATAACACATTTAAAATTTTCTGTTTTACAGGAGCTGGTTCAGGGTCAAAGTTGAAAGGCCCTGAGCTGAGTTTAAAAGGCACCCAGCACATAATGCAAGCTGGCCAGACTCTCTTTCTCAAGTGCAGGTGAGTAAGGTGCTTATGGGTGCAGTAATCTTGCCATCCCCAAATCAAACCTATTGGCTCCCTGACTCCCTCAGAACCGGAGGGAGGGGGGCAGAGCCTTAGGGGCACCCGTGTTAGGCCTCACATAGAGAATTGTCCTAGGAGGGGAGTGCTTCAAACACCTTGAGGGAATGATGCCCAAATATCATCACTTCTTTATCCTGACCATGGTCCTAAAGCCCCTTAGAATATGTGTCTTGTTCTTAATGAAGCAGATGGACACTCGGGAGGCCTCGGAATAGCAAACTCTTCAGTCCCGGTAGTAAACCTGACCTCACTCAGCATTGACTGTGCTTTACTTTGGTTGCAGAGGGGAGGCAGCCCACTCGTGGTCTCTGCCTGCAACAGTGAGTAAGGAGGAGAAGAGGCTGAGCGTTACTAGATCCGCCTGTGGGAGGAACAACAGACAATTCTGTAGCACCTTGACCTTGAACATGGCGCAAGCCAACCACACGGGCCTCTACACCTGTAGATACCTCCCCAAATCCGCTTCCAAGAAGAAGAAAACAGAATCTGCAATCTACATATTTGTTAGTGGTAAGACGTCGCCCTCCCGTGTTCTCTTAGCTTTTGTTTGGCATTGGGTCCGAGGTCTACCGTGGCTGGGTGAGAATACGGTTTCCCTGGTAATTGTGACACAAATGGGCAGCAGAGGGCTACCAGCCTGAATGCGGAAACCTGCGAAATATGTCGTGGTGCATTTTTACTGCTCAGCTTCAACGAGAATTTTCAAGACCCAGTGAGTTCAATGTTCCTTGTGGGAAGAGACTCTTGTCTGTTTAGTTGACTCCCACAACACCAGAACAGGGCTTAGTGCAGTTAGACCAAGTGGTAGGATCAGAATTCCATGTGTTAATTGTTGAGATGTTCCACCCGTGGTGCAAGGTGGTAGGCTTTCAGCATGATGCAATCTCTTACTTATCAGAAGTATAAAATACTTTGGGGGAACTGGGAATAAATACAGGTCAGTGGCAAATTTAAAGCTCTAGGTATATGTACACATATGCACACAGACATACACACACACACACAGGATTCGGGGTGTGCTTGAACAGCTTTCTCTATTAAATTAATCATTGGAGAACTAGAGAGATAGCTCTGCTGTTAAGGGCACCTGCTCCTCCTGAAGAAGGCCCAGGTTTAATTCCCAGCACCACATCACAGATCACAGCTATCTGTTATACAGTTCCATGGGATCTGACACAGTCCTTGGGCACTGTACATACATGGTACATATACATACATGCAGACAAGCGCTGATACACATAAAATGAAAATAAATCACTAAAAATAATAAAATAATAATTTAGTACATGGTAGCGCTGTCTTTTAAGACTTTCCATATTTGTTGCAGTTGGCTACAGTGTATTAGTTCACTGGCATTAAGCAAATATTAGCGATAGAAGAGCAAACATATTTTAGTGAGAAGGACAAAAGGCAGAAATGGGTCTTTTGGTCATAATCTTGCAGTACTGCCTTTTGCATCCTTACAGAATGATCAAATGAAGTCATACTCAGAGGGAGAGAGTCTAAGACTCTCTAAGAGTAGACGTCGACAGTAGAAGTGGTTCTCTGAGGAAGTCGAGGAAGACGAGGGAACCGCCATTGCTGTGCCCTTTCCTCCTCGTTCGCTGAGGTCTAAAGACCATAACTTGAAATCATTTTGCACGTCAGTCGCAAACTCTGGTTGTAAAAAAACAAAGCAGACAGTCATCAGCCTCAATAAAAAGCAGAGATGGCTCAGTGGTTAAGAGCAGAGGCTGCTCTTCCAGAGGGCCCGAGTTCGATTCCCAGCACCCACGTGGCAGCTTACAACTGTCTGTCACTCCAGTCCCACAGACACATATGCAGGTAAAACACAAATGCACATAAAATAAATAAATAAATAAATCTTTAAAAAAACACAACGTTGTCAGTCTACCTCCTGCTGGGATAAATAGTGTCTTGGAGTTAGATTCCTAAGCAGAGTATGTAATTACCCAGTTTAGGGGCTGGTCTCAGGAGACAGTCATCACAGTGTGATCGTGACAGTGAGCTCTTTCCAGCTACTGTCATTGGAATGTCCTTTCCCCACTGAGATGGAGCCCAGGACTTTATACATGCTAGTTAAGCACACTATCATTGAGCTATATCCACAGCCTTTTTGTATCTGGGGGACAGGCCCTCACTGAGTTGCCTGTCTGGCCTTGAACTCATAGTGTAGCCCAGACAGGACTCAAAATTGTAGCCGTCTTCTTCAGCGATCAAAGTAACCGGGGTCACAGGAGTGAGCCACACTGCCTGCCTATCATCCTGATTCTCTTTTGAGATTATCGAGGCTTCTCCCATTTTTATTGACCACTCCTATAGAGGTGCACTGTAGTCGTTGGGCACAAAGCTTGTCTCTGATAATGCAGACATTGTCTCTGAGGTTTACTACACACTGTCTGTCACACACTTCTCACAGAATAGCTATTTCAGGAAGCATTTTGTATGGAGACTTTCTGCCCCTGATGAGCATCTACAGACGAGTTGGCACTTCATTGTCACGTAGAAAGATGAGAAACCTTGTACAGATGTGCTTTGGAAGACATCTGTGTAGCCCTAAAGGTTTGGAGAAAAAGACTCAAGCCTGGGTAGCCTTTGCTATTTACTGCCAAATACAGCAGGTGAACTCTGAGCAAACGAGTGTTTAGGACAGTGTTGAGCACCCACTGTTTCACAGGCACAGTCACCAGCTAAGCTCTGATGTGGGCAGAGCATCCAGTAGCCTACAGAACACCAGTTACCACCACGCTGTCACCAGGACTTACACCCAGCCACCGAGTCTTCCACTAGAACACAGCCTTCAGGTAGTTTATTATACAAGGAATCGTGTTTGACTACTTCAGTTGACTTAACTAAGTTGGCTGGCACATTAGAATTTCCACTAAAACAACTTCTTCCGTAAGCAAGAGGCTGTGTTTATAGAATGCCTTTTAGCCCCATTCTTAACCCAGTTACTTCGCTGTCCTCTGAAGAAGGAAAGGAAAGGGAATTCCGTCGCCGCAGGCTTTACAGAGAGCAGAGGGCTCCTGCAGCTACGGATGGAGTGGACCACTGTCTTTCCCTGAAGTCTCAGCAGTGGGAGGAAACAGGAGGGGGCCAGACTGAAGGAGGGAAGCCGTCAGGGGGTGGTGTGTGCCTCACAGCAGGAGAGAGGGTGTTAGCCAAGCAGAGAGCTGGTAGCTCTGGGGAATGCAATCTGCCTTGATGCTGGATGAGGGGCTGGGAAGAGTCAGAGGGACACTTAAATTCTGTCAAGGTCGCTAGGCAGCTTGCTCAAGGTCACAGCCACAGGGAGTTTTTCCTGGTAAATGACATTGATGTGAGGTCATCCCCTTGGATATACTCTTGACATGGTCTGGATAAATGGCGTTTGAACAGGAGTTTCTGCTAAAATGGAATTCTCCAGAAAATGTAGCTATGAAGTTTGGGCTCATAAAGAAATGAAGCATCACTGTGCACCTCCCCCTTGCTCCTCCTTACAAAGCATCTCCAGAGCTGTGCATGGTCTGTCTCCCGTGGGAAGGAAAGGGTTCTGCTCACACTTCAGGTACTTGAACAGATATTTGGCTATGGGACGGTCTTTTCTAGAAGTCAAAGGATTTCATTAAAGGTATCTTTATATGAGTTTTAAGTGAACAGCAGGAAACTGACCCACAGAGGTTTTGGTGTGTGTGTGTGTGTGTGTGTGTGTGTGTGTGTGTGTGTGTGTGTGTGTGCCCTAGTGAGTGTGTGAAGGCCAGAGGACAACTTTGCAAATTGTTTCTTTCCTTCTACTGTGGATATTCCTGGGATCAAACTGAAGCTCACCAGGCCTGGCTCCAAACTTCTATTGGCAGGGGTCTGTCTACAGATATTGATAACAAACCTACTATGTGTTAGACCCTGTGGTTTGTTCTGTACGGAAGACTGAAATACAGGATTGTATAGGTTTGAAATTGAATCCATTGGTTGCTTTGTAGGACCATAGTGCCAGTCCATGGGCCTTTAAAACAAAGCCCACCTTTATTTTTACTCTTCCTGGGATAGTTATGGTTCAGTTAATAGTTAATGATGAAGAGGACCTCTGTCTCAGACCTTAGAAATGACCCCAATCAATGCACTGGGCCACTCCTCCTGGAGGGGTCTGTTGTGGAGTTTTGTTCCAGGGTGTTGTCTCTGGTTCCTGAAAGTTGTCACTTCTAGCCCTTCAAAACCAGCAGTAGCAGGTGCTCATGGATTGGGTAGTTTTTTTTTTAATCTCACATGGTCGCATGAATACGTTAGGGGAAGTCATCTCTTCCTAGAAGCCCATGGGCTCCATGCTGGGAGCTGAGTTTCTGAAAATGGTGGTAGTCTAAGGCCAATTTGCATCTGTAGAATTCTATCTCAAGTGGGTCTTCTGTAGAGTTCCTAGGAATTTTCTGACTTGTCTACCTATAACTTCATCAAAAACCAAGGTTAAGTTTTGATACAGTCGTTTCATTTTGGTGAGATTATGAAAGAAGAGAAACAAATATTTCTGTCATTTACAATAGGCACAGATGTGCTTTGGAACCATAGCTTTCCCCCATTGGAAAACAGGACCCTCTGTGTCCTGGCTGTGTGCTCCCTCTGGAGCTGAAGTATGACAGAGATTATCCATTCTATCCATCACTCCGTAGTGGCTGATTAGGACCACATGGCCAGAGTTCAGAGAGGAGTAACCTAACTCGACCAATTTCCTTTTCAGTGACACAGACTTTGATGGAAGATACTCTTGATGTCTCTAAGCCCTGCCATTTCATGTTTCTCTTAAAGAAACATTTGTGTCATTAAACTCCTCGCCAGTCATTCCTGTTGCTGGTGTTCTTGGCATACTTTCTCTAGAATGTTCCTTAGGTTGCCATCCATAGCTCTGTCAAATTTTCAGGCTGCCACTCAAAGAGAACAATTTCTGGTGTTTGCTAAACTACACAGCTAGATCTGGTATATGGGTTCTCTAAGCCACATCGATAAGCCTTGCTAGCAATGGCACCTGTGAGTACCTGCAGGCATCTAGCAGAATTGCACAGGCACTCAACAGTAATCAAAATGAGCATAGCTTCAAACACGCCACTTGGACACAGCCTGCAACTTTTGAAAGTTGATGACTGGGGATAGAATTATGAAATCTCCAGTTGTCAGTGAGGTCTAAAGGCAGTACGATTGGTCATGTTTGCTCATTTCCCCCAATACAGTAGTCAAGACGTAAAAAATAGTGGATCAAAACTTTGTAAGGTTTTAAGAATAAAAAAAAAGCCATTGAGCAATCATTTTTAGGAAAATGAGCAAGAGGTTTTCTCCAAAGATGTTCCCTTAAACTGAAAAGGCTTTAGGTATCTGAGCTTTTGTAACTTTAACACTCTCAATGGAATGCCGACGGGAGGGCAGCCATCTGTGTCCCTACAGCTGGTGGTGCAGTGCTAACGCTTGGTGATTCCCCAGTACTGTGTGTGGAACTTATTTCTTCTCCAATTAATTGCATCTTTCCTGAACTGTGCTATTCCGCACCC